TTCTCCCTCCATATATATTCTGTGTTCAAGTAAAAAATATTTTTTATTTATTAATGTGAAAAACAAATTTCGAACAATGCTTATTTTTATTATAAAAGTGAAATATTCTATGAAAATTGTATTTTTTATAATAAATAAGGTAAAATATCTGTAAATTAATGAAATGTGGAAATGTGTAAACTTTCTAAATTGGGTAAATTTTAAACTGGGTGGGAGTCAATTTAAATCTTAAGAGTATTTCTTATAACAAAGGGTGGTGGAACATTTAAAAAAGTTAAACAAGGAAAATTTTTCTAAGGAGGAAGGCAATTTAAATAGTTTTTAATTTTGTTAGTAAATATTTGTGTCGTTGTTGAAAACCAGAACAAAAGATATATTATGTGTAGATATGTCTGAATATTAAGTGACTTAATAATTTATATTCCTGGATAGTAAATGATACTGTAAATAAAGCAAGTATAAGGTTTATAAACTGGATGGGAGGCAATTTTGAAAGAAAACTTTGATAGTGGGATAAGGAATACTGTGTTCGTTCAGTAATTAAATATTTTTAACTTTCAAAAATATCAATGTGAAATGATAAACTATTTGTGAATTATTATAATAAAAACAACAAAAAAGTGAAAAATAAGACAAAGGCAAACATTTTTATCTTTTCAGCTTTTCAAAAGTAAACTAATATTATTTGGGTTTGGGTGGGTGAGGGTGATATCTTTTTTCGTGTCGTGATCTATTAATTCCTATTTAGTAAAACTGAGTGGGAAAAACTACTATTTCGTTATGTTTTCAGATGGATGAGAAATTATAAAGGTGGATGAGGATAAAGGTTGTGGATTAATTTTATTATCTATATTTATACACTCACTCAAACTTTTAAAAGTTAGAAAGAGATTTAAACTTGGAGACCACAGGATGACAAATCTCGAGTAGTATAATATTTTCTATTGTAAACTATTAAGTTAGGGTCCGGAAAAAGAGGGTGGATTCAGGGATATAAATTTACAGGTCCAGGGTAAGGGGATTATTTGTTTATTTTTTATCCAAAGTCTAACACAATTCCTTTTGTTTTTTGTTTTTTATTTAATATGGAATTGTGTTTGCAAGAGAAGGGATTCTCACATACAAAACACTTAAAGTGCTTATCCGTATGGAGAGATAGGTGCACACACCCACTCCTAAGTCAATATCAACCTTACTGGTGAACTATTGTGTAACACCCACCCAACATTTATAAACTATACATTTTATACGTATCCAGAGTCATGCCTCTTTTATTATCTTCAACAATATAAAAGGAGACAGTGAGGAGCGAAACAATTCATTAAGTTACAATTATTACATACATACAACACATTCTTGTTTATTACTTTTCCTCGTTGATATCGATGTCGAATTTCTTTTTGAAATTCAATGGGACTCTATCAAAGACGAGACTCTTAGGTATACAATAAAACAAACATTCATTACACTTAATCCTACGGGTTGATTTGTAGTGTCGACAAATGTAGTGCACCGGGACTGGTTTATAGTGGATTCATTCACAGTCCTACCTTTTCTTAGGTTTTCGCTGGAGTCTGCTTAAAAGGATTGGGTAAATATCCTGTGCCATACGGGACAACTTTTTATAACAATTACATTTAAAGGATTGTTATAGAAGGGTTCTCCCCAGAAAACCAAAATTGCATGCAACTCTCTTATCTTCCTCTGGAGAAGATTGGTATTGATTTGTCTTGTCAATTAGATAATATCCCCCAAAATTACCCATAAAAAACAATTTGTATTGTTTATTTAGGAATTATTGGGTAGGGTTTATATTTTTTGTAAATATAATATTCGGACCCTTACTTAGTAGGGAAAACAAACCCAATTAAAATTTAGAAGAGAGTACTAGGTAGATTTTCAGTATTGTTATCGATTATTATACACAAAGTAAGGAAATTTTACACAATTATAGGTAAAATAGATAGTTTCCTTATTGATTTTTTAGTTAGGGGATATTATCTTATCTAGGGGCAGAGTTATTATTCTCGATGGATTGGGGAGATCCCTCACCCATGATTCAGTAACTCCCTCTAGAAACAAAAGACTGATCCTTTAAGATTATAGAAGAAAAAATTTCCTTTACAGTGTCGTATATCACGCCGTTAAAGAATTATTGCATTTAGTGCTACCTAGGATAAAGGTGTGACACTATAGTCCTTTAACTGATTCTAGTGATAGTCGAGACTGTTGTGTAATCTTTTTAATCCCAAATTTAATAAAACATTATTATCGGTATCGGTGACAATATTTTATACTCCCTACTCTGTTGTTAATAGAGAATAGTATATAGCTGAGGGAAGGGTCTCGCGGCTGGGTTACCAAATAAAACCCTCAATGTACAGTTGTATTCTATATTAATTCTCTCTCAGCCATGATCGCTATATAGTTAAAAGACCGTGTTATATAATTGTAAACTAATAATAATTATAAAACATACAATATAAATGAGACAACATAATAATATTTGTGTATAATCTATATATTTTAAACTTTCCGGTGTAGTAAACCATTCTCCCATATATTTACGATAACCATTAACTGTAATTTCGCCAATAAATCTAGAAAAATCAATATATTTCAAATCCTCAGCTTATTTTTTTAATCCTTTTTTTTACCTAAAATATCTCTTATTTCTCTAACATTATCATGTATATGTTCGTATATAAGCGATTCTAATACTGGAATTATATAGTTAGAATATACAAGTTGAATTATATATAATATATCACACCTATTAATATCAACTATTGACACTAAAGACATAGTTATTACACTTAATATTTAACTGTAATTTTGATCTGGAAATATTATAGAACATAATACGGATGCAGCATTAAAAATAATAATAGCTTTTGATGTTAAAGAATAAAATCTAAAAATTTTTAAAACATTATCTGATGTGTCATAAATTCTTCGTATTTCTTCAATGTAATTACTCCAAAAAAGGTTATCAATATCTCCTTCGAGGTTAATAACATCATCACCTTTATTAGATAACATTTTTATTAATGCTACATATACTTCATTTTACATTTTAATATACTACAAATATAATGTGATTCCTTTTCTCTACAACGACGCTCTGGGTTTACTTTTTACTTGAGCAGCAGTCGATTCCAACACTGTGGGTTTGTGTTATAGGATGGACAGCTATATTGACCTTGAGAAAAAATAAAAATATTATAGTATAGGTTTAAAGGTAGAATATCAAAGTATAAACAGGTTAAAAAGTTAAAAATCTTATTTATAACCCTGTTGTTGAAAAATAGCTGGTTTATATGTAAAAAATGTTCTTTAAGACAAGGAAAACCCATATTAATTCTTATTGATTTAATTACCAGTGACTATATTGACTGCCGAAACCCTTAAGGACGGAGCACTGACTACTCTTGTCTAAGGGAGGAGCAGTGAAGCCTTGAGCCCCCATTCCCTCAGTTGATAGACATAAAATTGGACCAATTAATTTAATAGGAATTGTATCTGAAATTGACAAACAAAAGGGTTTGTATAAAGTAATAACACCCCATGGTGAACTTAAACCAAGATTAATGAAAAATCAACTAGAACTGTATGGTAATAATGTTAGTATTAGTAATGGTAATGGTATTGGTGATAATGGTAATGGTATTGGTGATGGTAGTAATATTGGTGATAATAGCAGATATGCTGGTATTGGTATTAGTAATAATGATGAATTATCACCAATACCAATACTATCACTACTATCATCACCAATACCACCACCATTATCACAACCATCATCCTCACCACAACCAAAACATCCATCATCATCATCACTACAATTACCACCATCATCATCAGCAGCAGTACCAACACCACCACCACTACCATCATCATCATTATCCTCATTATTAAAACCAAAACTACCAAGACCACTATCACAATTACCGCATGTCAAATTATCTATACGTAAGGCTGCAAGATTACAAACTAAGAGTTTAGGGATTTGTATAGAAAGTACAAGTGGTAATTATGTAGCTTGTAAATGTAAATCTATTCCATGTAGAGACAAACGATGTACATGTTTTAAAAGAAATAAAAAATGTAACAATATGTGTTCATGGTAAAAATGGATGTAAAAATAATTATTGTTTTAATGTTGCTATTTTATATATATTTAATATTTAAACTATGAAGTTTTTCTTAAATTCAACTCTTTCAAGTTTTCCCATTTTCCCTTAGCTTACAAATATTCGAAACTGGACTACACAAAACTTTTGTGGATTAGTGAAGAAATGTGTCGAGATTTCTCTACAACTACTACATTGTTGGAAGTAAAATTAAGCTTGAATCTCTTAAATTTTAATTTAGTATCCAAAAACCTGGATAAGAAATTTATTCTCTGAAAAATCTAAAAGAGATTTTTCCATATATAAAATATATTTGATGCAGGATATGACTTATCACTGAGGGAGGCAACCTCTGAATCTTTTAAATACCAGAAAACCTGGATAAGAAATATTTTTCTCATATATAAAATATATTTTGATGTAGCTGTGTGAAGAAATGTGACATTTCTCTACTACATATAAAATATATTTGATACAGGATATGACTCATCACTGAGGGAGGCAGCTGTGTGTGAAGAAATTGTAGGTTATGTATCTAAGCTACTGTTTGTAAGAAACTCCTGGGGATGTCCTAATTTAAAAGTAACTCTGGAGATTTTTCTTACAAAATATATTTTACAGACATGACATCTTATAGAGAGAGCTGTATTTAAAATAATGATGTCAAGGGTTTTACTAAGTCTTTGTTTATAAGAAACTCCACCCATGGGGATGTCCTGACTAAAAGCAAGTCTCTGATTGGGTATGAAAATATGAAAACTATAACTCCTCCCTCTCTCAGTTCTACCACATTTACTAAAAATTTCTGATTGGGAATAGAAAATGATAGCTCCTCCCTCTATTTCTTTTACTTAAGGTTAGACAGACAAACATTTTCATATCTCCTCTCATTAAGGACTATGATTTTAAGGTGAGAGGAGTTGGACAGTAAGGACTCTGATCTTTCAGTGTGGAAAGGAGTTGGACAGTAAGGACTCTGATCTTTCTGTGTGGAAAGGAGTTGGACAGTAAGGACTCTGATCTTTAAGGTGAGTGGAGTTTTTCTTTAGAATAGAAACAATGGGGAATGATTATTTAGTGGTAGTTGCGATGGGTTAGGGTTATTTGTGTAAAAATTATCCTTTAAATTTGTGCTTTTAAGCCTTTTTACATTTATGGGTGTTAATGGTTAACTACGATATCGGAACATATGTCTTAACCTTATTACCAAGGCAATGAGTGAGTGATATTCAGATGTGTGTGTTTAAACAGTATTAAAAAAAATTGCAGTCCGAAAGTACTTTGGTAGTTTAACAAACATTAGAGAAAGGTGAAGTGAAGTGAGGGGTGTACTAGTTTCCCTCACAGGTGGTGGTGTTATGAGGGACTTGACATGGTGTAGTAATTCTCTCACAGATGGTGTTATGAAGGGTTTGATGTGATGTAATAATTCCCTCAGATGGTGTTGAGAAACCCTGTAAACGTCATTTTAAAGGAGTGTGGGGGAGGGTAAAGAGTGTGTGAGAGAATTTCATGGTGAGTCAATTGGGTAAAGGAAGAGAATATTATATGCACGTGTAGAGTTTACAGAGGTTAGGGGTAAACTGGCAAAGGTCAGTAGTGTTGGAGGATATAAAAGGTTGAAGGTGAGCACAGTCATGGCGTGACCACACAAGGGACAGACGTGCCCATATAGGTGCTCTTTACTTCCAGCTTCGCCACAAAGGTCTCCTCAAGCTGGCAAATTTTACCAGCATGGGGGTCGACCCCAGTTTGTGCCCTTTCGGGTGCCCAATAAACTAGCCCCCTCATGGGCAATTTGTAATCAATCTGTTGGTATAATATCTGAGGGGGAACCTTGGGAATTCCGTAATAAATGCTACTGAACATAGGGTTTTACTGTGTCTTGTCTGTCATCTGTCGTCTTGAGTCGCAAGATATCTCTGCTGCAGAATTCTGCCTGCAAAGAAATTGACAAAGCCTAGTCACTTTCGGTTCAATTGCTTATCACATTGGCAAGCAAAAGAAGCCACATACGATTGGAGACCTTCGTAAAGCTATGGTCGAGTTGGTTTGTTGCTTGGAGCAGAGGAAAAAAATTGCAGCAGTGCCTTCGTAATTAATTCAGCATGTAACTGGATGAAGCTACTGAACTACTTAGAAATTGGAGTCAAAGACTTTGCCAGCAATTCTGAAAGAAAGTCTGTGTACTGGTGTGAAAATAATCCGTCCGGAGCCAGGGCTGTGAACATCGCGTTTTCACAGAATATAAAGTTCTTCAGTAGTATGGCGTAAATTTATTTACTTTTCATTAAATTTAAAATAATAATGCCCCAAAAGAGTGAACATAAAAATTTTGAAGGGGGAAATGGATGTAATTTTGTATATAGGTTTTTTTCTAATATATATATAGATATAGAACTCACTTTTTCATTAATATGAGATTTCGTATAATACTTAATAACATATTTTTCCCCAGAGAGTATATCATTGAATTATCATCAACATTAATATTTTGTTTATTAACTATTTTTTGAACATTTTTCCAACCCAACCATTTTAGTGAAATATTCTTCCTGGTACAATAAGGTACAACATATATGGGTGTTATTAATAGATGAATTATTCCAGCTATAGCAATACAGTGTATCCAATAGCTAAATTTATCAAATTTAGTATTGTTATACCTTTTGTTTTTACAAGAAAAAGAATTAAAACATGGGCGAATTTTCGAATAACTTTTAATAAATCTTTGTAAAGATGAAAAAGGAATATCCCATAATTGATTAGATTTAACCTGTAAGAAATTAAATCCTTTCCTTTTTTTTATAAGGAATGACCCATTTATTGGGCGTATCAGTAAAAAAGGAAATCATTACCATCCTATATTTAGTATTAATTTTATTTACTAATACTAACCCAGGTACATTATTTATTTTACAAAATGACTTTTTAAATAAAATTGAGCCGGCATGAATTTTACAACAATAGAGTAAAAATTTATCAATGATAATTCCAGTATTATTGAAAAGATGTTTTTTTTACAGTATTATGATTATTAATTATTTTGAAATTATCTAATTCATTCCACCCTGTTAAGGGGAAAATTTCATTTATGTAATCCATCTTTTATTATATGATAAAAAAATAAAATAATGATTTGGACTTATCCTTCAGATTATAATCCAGATACAACAATTTCTACTACAACTACAACAATCTCTATCACCACTAGCCCTACTACTTCTATCACCACTACCCCTACTACTTCTATCACCACTACCCCTACTACTTCTATCACCACTACCCCTACTACTTCTATCACCACTACCCCTACTACTTCTATCACCACTACCCCTACTACTTCTATCACCACTACCCCTACCTCTATAATCACTACTATCACCAGTACATCATCTTCTTCCCCTACCTCTATCACCCCTATCTCTACTATGAATAGTCTACCATTAAGTATTTACAATAAACCGGAATAAAACAAAGCAATCAATTTGAAATTAGATGAATATGATTTTCAAAATATATTATTCCCAAATACCATAAAGTATTTAGAATTAGAAAAATATTCACCTATGTTAATTGTAATTGATTTACATTCATTATGTTTATGTGATGATAATTTTTTTTTACAAATAAATTCCACCGATAATGTAGGTAAAGTATATACTAGACCTTTTATGCAAGATCTTTTAATTTATTTAAAAAGGTGAATAAACACAATATTCTCATTTTAAGGACATCATTAAAAAAATGTCAAATTTATAAAATTTTAATATTGTTAAATATATCCCAATATTTTACATTTATCCTATCGATGTCAGATTGTGTTATATCTAATACATTATATAATGTAAACAAATCCTATACTTATTTAATTAAAAAATTTCCCATCTATAAGGGAATGAGATCTATTGTACTGTCTAATCAAGCAGTAAGAGACACGCCTTCACCAGAAGAGATAAAACAAAATCAATTATTAAGTAATACCATTACCCTTTGTAATAGGAATCATTTTGATTTTATAGTATCTATTAAACCATACCGTATTCGAGATGATATTATTCATAAGAATAAAATGATTCATTTTGTTCCATTATCAAATATAATAAAAAAATAAATAAAAATTTGAAATTACGATCTTTAACATGGTTGTATATAACAGATTGAATTTCTTTATATCATATACTATAATTATTATATTCTTCATACTTCAATCATTAGCAAATATATATCATAAATGAATTCATCTTCAATTCATGAAGAAACAATCCATCCACATATACACCATTTTTATCAAAAAGTACCTATTGATGGTGAAATACTTATATATAAAAAAAATAACTGATAACAATTTAACTGTAGACCTCAAATTTAATAAAAAAAATATGCTATTTTTCGATAGAAATGGCGTAATTTATCATTTTTTTGGAAATGAAAATCCTTCTTTAAACATATTAATAAAAACACTATACCCCTATCATTAACACCTCACAAATTTAAAACACTTTTTAACACCTCAAAAATTTAAAGCACATATAAAATGTATCATTTTTACACAAATAGCCCTAACCCACCACAACTAGTGAGGATTTCAATCATGGCTTGGGTTACTTGGCAGATATTTTTGGCAATATGAATGAGGTGATTCTTGCGATTCAAGACGACAGATGACAGACAGAAAGACAGACAGGCGCAGACAGTAAAACCCTATTTTCAATAGCATTTATTACGGAATTCTCAAGGTTCCCCCTCAGATATTATACCAAGAGATTGATTACAGATTGCCCATGAGGGGGCTAGTTTATTGGGCACCCGAAAGGGCGTAAAGGTCTACTGGGGTCTGACTCTTAAAGGTGTTGGATTCAGTATGACCAGGCGAGTTGGTAATGGCATCATCAGTATAAGAGATGTCTGCGTCTGCGTCTATGAGAGAGCCTCTTATGTAACGTTTTTATGTCGTCAACCCCCCCATGCTGGTAAAACTTGCCCGCCGAGGAGACCTTTGGGACGGAGCTGGAAGTAAAGAGCACCTATATGGGCACGTCTGTCCCTTGTGTGGTCACGCCATGACTGTGCTCACCTTCAACCTTTTATATCCTCCAACACTACTGACCTTTGCCAGTTTACCCCTAACCTCTGTAGACTCTACACGTGCATGTAACATTCTATCAAAGTCGAAATCGATTGGATGACAAAGATGAGATGCGTATTATCTTATTCAAGCCAACAACAACAACCTTTAAAATGAACTTATATTTTCTTCCTTCAGTTACTCTTTCATCCAGCTGATAAATACGAGAGACACCGTACTTTTTTTAATCCAAGTACGAAGCAAAGAAGAAGGAAAACTTGGATGAAATGGATAGAGAAGTGGAGAAAAGTGAAGAAAAAATACAAACTTAAATGATATCACAAAATAAGGTTGGTAATTGGTTATTCATTGTGTGCGTTGACAAGCCTACCCTTGTCTGGTAACGTGACAAAGATGAGATGCGGTGTTACCTTTGTATAATTTTTTATCAAACATTATTTTCTTCCTTCAGTTACTCTTTCATTCAGCTGATAAATACAAGACAGAGACGGTACTTTTAGGAATCAAAGTAAGAAGCGAAGAAAGATACAAAAATATCACAAAATAAGGTTGGTAATTAGTTATATATTACCACCAATACTAATAGCACTATCAATTACATCTGAATTCATTGTTTCATTTAATATATTAGTTTCTAAAAAATTATCAAGTTGTACAATTGTTTTATTTAAAACATTTGTCTGATCTTGTAGCCATTTTTCATATTCGGAAATATTTTTAAGCCTCTCTCTTTGTTGCGAAGCTAACAGTTCTTCATTAACATTATGATGTTGTTGAAGATAGCTTAATTCATTAATATATAAATTAATGTTATTTTTATAATAGTCATGTAATGATGTTAAAACATTTTCAGTGTCTTTTCTGTTTGAAATAATTAAATTTTCATATTCATATTTTAAATTATTTATTTCTAATTCAAATTGTTCAGAGAAATTTCTAGATTTGTGTTTGTAGTTGTTTATAGATGTGCATAATTTATGAATAACTTGTAACATACGATATAAATCATTCATATCATATAGATTAGAATTTCTTATATATAATATTATTTTTTCAATCATTCCACTGCTAATTCATAATTATTAGTCTCTTCATTAATTTCTTTAATAAAATTTAACAATTCATACAATAGAGGATATAAATGTTCATGATAGTTAAAATTTGTTAAAGACGTTTTTATGAATTCAGTAAATGCATTAAAATCTTTAAGATTATTAATAAATTCAGTATTAATATTTTTTTTATTATTATCATCTACACACACTAATAATGAATATAGATTCGTTTGTAGCAATGTATTTATTTGTAAATTCTTATTTGATAAAACATTATTGGCTTTTAAAATATTAAATACCACTAATTCTAATTGAGCATAATTATTTAAAGCAGCTTCATAATTTTTATTTTTTAAGTTTCCATTGATATTAAATAAAAAGTTCGTCATTTTTATATATAAAATTTGACTAGTGTTATAAGTGAGTATATTTTTATTATCTTATATCATTTAAAGTTTTAATGGGTAAAAATGTACGACCAAACAGAGAAGGGGGAATATAATTTATTATTTGATTTATAAATTCTTTATTCGAATGCCTCATATGTTCTGTAGGTGATATTCCTTTTTGAATTAATAATTTTAAATGAATCATAGCATGAATTATTATAATACTAAGATTAAGTTGATAGATACCAACTTTATGATATAAATTAGTAAAATTAGTAGTTATTGTGGTGGTGGTATCTTCTTCAGTATTATATAGTATGCGATTCGATCCTAATATATTACACCTCTTATCTAATAAATTATTATTATCATCTAAAGTAATACTATAAGTGTCTAATCCACTAATAATAGATATTTGATTGTCTAATGATGAAAATGTATCAGATATAACAGTATTATTGGGTGTTAGTTCTGTTGAAAAGTATAATATGTATATATTATTATTATACAGGTATACATTGATAAATTCTAAATCATTTTCATGTAAACGTTTCCCATTACTTTTCCTATCACCCTCTAAGGCTAACTTTATTAATTTAGAATTTATTTGAGATTTGGATATAGGGTTATCTATGTCGATAAAAATAAACTGTTGTTTCTTATGAATTTCTTTAAAGAAATTATTAAAAATGAATTTATCGATATCCCAAAATAATTGTTCAACTAATATCTCATTGTGTGAAGCTAGATAATTCATATAACTAATAAAATTTTCATAAACTACATTCATTGTAAATTTTGAACTTTCCTCTGTATAGATCACAGCTGCAATAGGTGTTACAGTAAAAATATTATCCTTTCCCAAACATTGTTCAAGTCGTTTCACTCTAAATTCTAAAGACTGCAATATTGTTAATTGATTTTAATCGAAATCTTCGATATAATTTGTATTTAACTCTTTCATCAAATGGAGTATCACGATCTAAAGTGTATGTTCCCTCTCACGAAGGAGACCTCCAGCAGTTTGAATTACATCATTTATATTTGAAGTATTGAAAGACGACGACAACAACGTATTTCCTTCGCCTTCTACCTTAAATCTTTTAATTGTTGGTTTATTTGTTTTAAAATTATTAATAATTGAAGAACTTTCTTCTTTTTCTTCATCGTGAAATGAAACTATTTATTTTCATTTAGTGGTTTTGTCATTTTTATAGTAGAATTTTTTTAATATTAAACATTATTATAACAAAACCACTAAATAAAAAGTCGTTGCCGTCATTGATATACACATATATTCTATTGTATGATTCTCAATATACACATATAATCTACTGTATAATTCTCAATACATATCTATTCTACTGTATGATTATCAATACATCCATATATTCTACACATAGTAGACTATATTTATGTTGAGGAATCATACAGTAGATTGTATCTGTTTTATTGAGAATCATACAGCTATAAAATTCGTTTATGTATATAATATGTCTTGTCTTTTATTATTTTAAATCCTTTCTCTTCTATTTATAGATCAGTGGAGAAATCAACAAACATGGGATCTTCTTTGACTTTCATCAATTTAGCTTCATTTTTGACCTACGCTTCAATATATAATCGCAAACAGTCATTCACTTTGATTAATCGTATATCTAATTGTCCCCGTCAAGGCTATATAGACAGTTTGTCTGAACGGGGGTTCTACTTCGACTGGATGCGCAAAGGAACTAGACAGCATAGATTTAGTATTGTTTGTTATCACTGTCGTCAAAGATGGATATGTAACAATACAAATACAGAACTATGGGAAACGAATGAGTTTCAGGAAATTGACGAGCACCAATGTAACAAGAAATTATTAATAGATGATGAAACTACAAAACTAATTATTGCAATAATCATGTATTATTGCAAAATTAATACAAGATACTTGAAAAAATTTCATGGAGAACTAACAAAAATGAAAATAATGCAAAATCGCTTAGATTCCTTTATAAGTCACTCCTGTTTTATACGGAAAGAGAATTATACCAGATATAACCGCACCTTTTATTTGTATAATACTCTTGAGGATTACCCCCCTACATTTAGATGTACATGCTGCTACTTTAATTTACCATTACCATATTTAGAATCAGCCGGCGATGATATTATAGATATTCATAATGAATATTTAGAAGAACAAAAAAATGAAATGGAACTCCCGGCAGATTTTTCATTAGAAATTTATATTAATAAAATAATTCAAAATAATTTCATACAACATAACACAAACACTAATAATTGGAAATTTATGATGGACAAAATCTACCACACTGGTAATATATATTTAACTAAAGAGGAATTTTTAGATGATATTGTAATACACAATAAAATTGAAAATGAGAGAGAAAAGGATAAAGAAGAAGAAGAGGAGGAGGAGGAGGAGGAGGAGGAGGAATATGAATCTGAAACGGAAAGAGAAGTAAATTTCCTTGTTGAAAATTTGAACCCGTCACAAATTGTATTACCTACAATGGATATTCAGCGGAAAAATGTTAAAAAAATTCGGATGAACACAGAATCAGATGAGCCCAATTCCCCGGTAGAGAAAACTCCTCCTCATCCTCCTCCTCATCCCCCTCCTCCTTCTTCTTCCCCAAACCTTTTTCCACAAGTTCTTACTGATACTACTACTTTGGATATTGATACTGATAATCTTATTACTGGTATTGCTACTAATAATAATATTACTGATATTGCTACTGATAATATTATTAGTGGTACTGCTAATGTTATTACTGATACACCTGTATCTTCATATCCTGATTGTTTGTTTCTTCCTAATCTCTCTTCACCCTTTCCTTCTACCTCTACCACTATATCTCCTAAATCTCCTAAAAGAAAAATTATAATACAAGTAACACAAAATGATAAAAGAAAAAAAAATAATAATTATGACCAAGAAATGTTAGAGGAATTTCCTAAAAAATTAAAAGAAGAAATGAAAGAAGAAAGACTATCAATTCAACAACTTTCACCAACAATCCAAAAAGCTTCACCATTTACACCAATTGAACAACCTTCACCAATTACACAAATTCAACAACCATCATCATCAATGTCAATCCAACAACCTAAACCAATTACACAAATGTCAAGTCAATTACCTTTGCCACCAGCCTCAGTTCAACCACCATTGGCTTCGACAGTTGTTGGACAACCATCGACGGTTGTTGAACGGCCGTCGACGGTTGTTGGGCAACTATCGATAGTTGTTGGGCAACTATCGACGGTTGTTGGGGAACTATCGACGGTTGTTGAACGGCCGTCGACGGTTGTTGGGCAACTATCGACAGTTGTTGGGCAACTATCGACGGTTGTTGGGGAACTATCGACGGTTGTTGAACGGCCGTCGACGGTTGTTGGGCTACCATCGACAGTTGTTGAACAACCATCTACGGTTGTTGAACAATCGTCGACTGTTGTCGAACAACCATCTACGGTTGTTGAACAATCGTCGACAGTTGTTGAACAACCATCTACGGTTGTTGAACAATCGTCGACAGTTGTTGAACAACCATCTACGGTTGTTGAACAATCGTCGACTGCTGTCGAACAACCATCTACGGTTGTTGAACAATCGTCGATGGTGCTGTTGAACAACCATCTACGGCTGTTGGAACAATCGTCGACAGTTGTTGAACAACCATCTACGGGTTGTTGAACAATCGTCGATGTTGTTGAAAGCCGTCGATGGCTGTTAAAACGGCTGTCGGTAGTTTTTGAATAACCGTCCAAAGTTAAAGTTGATAGCCGCCGATGGTTGTTCAACAACAGTCGACGGCCGTTCAACAACTGCCGCCGCTGTTTTCCGTAATAATAAAAGGGTGAAATACCTGACTTGATTGAGGATTATAACTTGTTTATAATATATTTGATAGGTTAATTTTTCAGTTTCCTTTAGCTCTTAATCCTATATGATATGTATAAAGAATTAGTTTATAAATGTTGTCTCTATTAATACGGCTAAGTTATTCCAAATGTGAATAAGAGTCTGAAAATTATTAGGAAGATCATTAGAGAATTGGTTTATTACTTCTAAGACTACCACATAACTTTGGTAGAGCTAATTCTACACCTAGAATAGGACCAATTAAATATTTATTTAGTGTTCGTATATTTGTTTTTCTTGTCTGAAATTTAATCTTACCATCTTGATTGAGGTATGTGTTGTAGTCTTCAACTATTACTGTAGTTAATAAGGCCTTCCTTCCTATTTTATCAACTTTGAATCGTCCAAATTTTCTTATAATACTTTCATAGTTTATTAGACTAACCTGTTTAAGCATGCGAGTTCCACTATGACCAACAATTGTTCTTTTGGTACAATGATTTATATATGGTTTATTATATTCATTTTGGAGACGATCTATATCATTTTCATTAAAAATATTTTTTAATTCTTGAATAAATGTATTTTCCATTAATACATATATAATTTTATTTTTATTATATAAAATTATTTATTTGTGAATAATAATGAAGTTTTATATTTTCATTTCTATTCCTATATTAAAAATATAGAATAACAAAATGTACTTTAAATATAATAAAAAAGATTATGAAGATGAAGTAAGTGAAGATGATGATGGTGATCAAGATGGTGATAATAAAGATGATAGTAGTGGAGGAGACGATATAGAAAAGGTAGATTCTATCAAAGAAGGTATAGAAGTAATAGATTCTAGTAGTAAAGAAGATGGTATAGAAGTAATAGATTCTAGTAGTAAAGAAGAAGGTATAGAAGTAATAGATTCTAGTAGTAAAGAAGATGGTATAGAAGTAATAGATTCTAGTAGTAAAGAAGATGGTATAGAAGTAATAGATTCTAGTAGTAAAGAAGATGGTATAGAAGAATAGATTCTAGTAAAGAAGATGGTATAGAAGTAATAGATCTAGTAGTAAAGAAGATGGTTAGAAGTAATAGATTCTAGTAGTAAAGAAGATGGTATAGAATAATAGATTCTAGTAGAGTAAAGAAGATGGTATAGAAGTAATAGATTCTAGTAGTAAGAGATGGTATAGAAGAATAGATTCTAGTAGAGAAGATGGTATAGAAGAATAGATTCTAGTAGTAAAAGAAGATGGTATAGAAGAATAGATTCTATAGTAAAGAAGATGGTATAAGTAATAGATTCTAGTAGTAAAGAAGATGGTATAGGTAATAGATTCTAGTAGTAAAGAAGATGGTATAGAAGTAATAGATTCTAGTAGTAAAGAAGATGGTATAGAAGTAATAGATTCTAGTAGTAAAGAAGATGGTATAGAAGTAATAGATTTAGTAGTAAAGAAGATGGTATAGAAGAATAGATTCTAGTAGTAAAGAAGATGGTATAGAAGTATAGATCTAGTAGTAAAGAAGATAGTATAGAAGTAATAGATTCTAGGAAGAAGATGAAGATAATAATAGATTCTAGTAGTAAAGAAGATGGTATAGGTAATAGATTCTAAGTAAAGAAGATGGTATAGAAGTAATAGATTCTAGTAGTAAAGAAGATGGTATAGAAGTAATAGATTCTAGTAGTAAAGAAGATGGTATAGAAGTAATAGATTCTAGTAGTAAAGAAGATGGTATAGAAGTAATAGATTCTAGTAGTAAAGAAGATGGTATAGAAGTAATAGATTCTAGTAGTAAAGAAGATGGTATAGAAGTAATAGATTCTAGTAGTAAAGAAGATGGTATAGAAGTAATAGATTCTAGTAGTAAAGAAGATAGTAGTAATATAGCAATAAAAACAGAAGATTCTAGTAGTAGAGAAGATGATGTCGGTGTCAATAATGATGTAAGAATAATAAGCAGAAAAAAGAGATTTGTATCAGGAGGAGGAGAAAGACGTAATGATGAAAATGGTAGCAATAATGATGACGGAGAAGATATTAGCAATAATAATGAAGGAATAAGAAGCAGAACTGTATCAGTAGAGGGAGGAGGAGGAGGAGGAGGAAGAAGTGGTGGTGGTGAAAGTGGTGATGATATTTCTAGCGATTTAAATGAATTAAAAATGTTTCAATTAACAAATTCAATTAATTCTGAAATATCCCATATATTAGTAATAACAATACTTTTAATAATTATATTAGCTTTAATGAATTTACATTGGTCTTTCCTTTATATTATAATATTAATAATACTTATAATGAAACCTGTTATTAGTAAAAATATAGTAATATTATTACATGATTATTGAGACAATAAAATATAGATACTTTTTAAAGAGTTTATTCACCTTTTATTAATAAATAATACTGAGCAGGTATAGGCTTATAAAATACTGTAGTCTGAACTTTTTTTCCATAGTATTACCAGACAGGGGCAAAGCTCTTATCAGGACGGACAAGATAGGTAGAGTTACCAGAAGAGTGTTAGCCAGAATAACATCACAATCCGATTTCTCTTGAAAGAATTCATTTTGAAAAAGTTTACTTTCTTGGAATGGTCATCACTCACTTTATAATTTAATAGTTTTTTACACATCCTATAAAAATGTACAAGCTAATTTGGCCATATTATCTACATAATCATGTTCTTTTAATCCAATGTGCGCTGGTATCCACAAAAAATGTATTTTAATTTTTTGGTATATGTTGCCATGATTATCTACGAGAGTCACAAATAATCAAACCATTACATTCTTTTTTAACTAAATAATTTATAGCATCCTTAATTCCTTCCAATTCACAGCTATTACAATCAATCCAATTATCCAGACGACGCATTTGTTGTGCAATACATTTATTATATTTGTAAACAATATAGGCACAACCAGCTGTTCCATCCTGTTGTACAGATCCGTCAGTATATATAGTAACTAACTCAGTTGTACTGCTGGTACTGGAAAGTTGCTTGGTAAGTTGACAAATTTGTTCAATAGTCTTTTTCTTCTGTATATGTTTGGGATTATATTTATTAGTCCGAGTATAATATACATTTTCAGTTGATTTCATCATCCTTTCTGAAAAAAAAATGTATTAGTAATAAATTTATTTCACTAAAATTTATATTTTTGGGGGTTTCTTCTTCAGCAAATAAATAAAGCTAGCCAGCCTCAACTCCTACTTTATTCACCTTCTTCATCATGGTCTCTCGTCTCTCGGGTCCTAATGAACTCTTCAACACTGGCTGCAACAGGCCCGGGTAAATGGTAAGGGTAATGCTTCAACGTGTCCTTGTAGTCGTAAATTGTCATGTGACTCAAGAACTTAAGCGTGGGCACATTTTTCCACTCTTTCATCTGCAGCAGATCAAATGACGAAGGTTCCTCTACCTGTAACCCGTCTTTAGCCATAGTAACCCAGATGTCATGAGGTTTGTACTTATTGGTAATGATCGACTTCAAGAAGATCTGGGCGTCGAAGGTGATATAGATCTCTCCACCTCCTTGACATTCAAAACCAGTATAATCACAACCGGCGGACATTTTTATGTAAATAAGGCGGCCGTTGTACACCATCCTACCGGCAAATTCAAAGTCTTGGCCAGATACATCGTCATCGTAGTGGGAGGTGTAATAAAGACGATCAACTGCCTCTAAGTTAATCTCGAATTTTTCCAGTTCTCCGTCCCTCCACTCACACATCTCCCAGGGTGAGGTCCGCTTGTCTAACATGTATTGATAGATTAAGGCCGTTCCAATTAACTCGTAAATATCATCAGCACAAGTGACCTCGGATTGGACACTTTTAAAGTAAAATGAGTTTTAACCACATTATACATTGGGTTCGTTTTAAAAAACAAAACAAGTGTCTTTACTCTTGCAGCCAACGTTAAACTGACCAGCAACCCAAGCGTTACCACAAATAAACTCCGACCTTCATTGTTAATAAAGATTTGAAGAAGCAACAACTTTTTTATTTATTAGAGAAAGAGCCAACCTTTTTGAAATTTTTTTGACAATTTTATATTTTTTTATATTTTATTTTTTTTAATTTTTATAATATATTTTTATTATTATCTTGATGGAAATCTGAAATATCTGAAATATCTAAATTTTCTTGTTTGTTAATATTAAGTAAATCATTCCGTTTTGTGGTAAAGATTTTCCTTTTATGTCTTGAATGTGAGGATGACGACTTTTGCGCTTGAGGAGTTTGTGTGGGAGGTAATAATTGCTTAGAATTTTTTTTTTTAATCCAATATATGCATTAATAAAGGTTAAATTTTCTTAGTATTGGGAGGTACTTTTGTAGTAGTTGTTGTGGTTGTAACAGTGGATATAATACAATTATCTCCTTTTCTTCTTTTAATACACACTTTACTTTTGTTTTTTTATACTCTACCTCTTCTTCCTCTTCTTCATCTTCATCATAATCTCTCATATCAGCTATCTCTGTCTCTGTCTCTATCTCTATCTCTGTCTCTGTCTCTATCTTTGTCTCTATCTCTCATCTCTGTCTCTGTCTCTATCTCTATCTCTATCTCTGTCTCTGTCTCTATCTCTAACTCTGTCTCTATCTCTGTCTCTGTCTCTATCTCTATCTCTGTCTCTGTCTCATCTATCTCTGTCTCTGTCTCTGTCTCTATCTATATCTCTTCATCTTTGTCTTATCTCTATCTCTGCTCTCTGTCTCTGTCTCTATCTCTGTCTCTATCTCTAACTCTGTCTCTGTCTCTCATCTCTGTCTCTATCTCTCTGCTCTGTCTCTGTCTCTATCTCTGTCTCATCTCTACCTCTATCTCTGTCTCTGTCTCTATCTCTGTCTCTGTCTCTATCTCTGTCTCTGTCTCTGTCTCTGTCTCTATCTCTGTCTCTGTCTCTGTCTCTATCTCCTAACTCTGTCTCTGTCTCTATCTCTGTCTCTGTCTCTACCTCTATCTCTGTCTCTGTCTCTATCTCTGTCCTCCTGCCTCTATCTGTCTCTGTCTCTGTCTCTATCTCTGTCTCTGTCTCTATCTCTATCTCCTATCTCTGTCTCTGTCTCTATCTCTATCTGTCTCTGTCTCTAGCTCTGTCTCTGTCTCTGTCTCTGTCTCTATCTCTGTCTCTATCTCTCTCTGTCTCTGTCTCTGTCTCTATCTGTCTCTATCTCTATCTCCTGTCTCTGTCTCTGTCTCTATCTCTATCCTCTGTCTCTGTCTCTGTCTCTGTCTCTGTCTCCTATCTCTGTCTCTGTCTCTGTCTCTGTCTCTCTTTGTCTCTGTCTCTGTCTCTGTCTCTGTCTCTGTCTCTATCTCTATCTCTATCTCTGTCTCTGTCTCTGTCTTTGTCTCTCTATCTCTGTCTCTGTCTCTGTCTCTGTCTCTATCTCTATCTCTGTCTGTCTCCTATCTCTATCTCTGTCTCTGTCTCTGTCTCTGTCTCTGTCTCTATCTCTGTCTCTGTCTCTATCTCTATCTCTGTCTCTATCTCTATCTCTGACTCTATCTCTGTCTCTATCTCTATCTCTGACTCTATCTCTATCTCTGTCTCTGTCTCTATCTCTGTCTCTGTCTCTGTCTCTCTATCTCTGTCTCTGTCTCTATCTCTATCTCTGTCTCTATCTCTATCTCTATCTGTCTCTATCTCTGTCTATCTCTATCTCTGTCTCTCTGTCTCTATCTCTGTCTCTATCTCTGTCTCTGTCTCTGTCTCTATCTCTATCTCTATCTCTGTCTCTGTCTCTATCTCTATCTCTGTCTCTATCTCTATCTCTATCTCTGTCTCTATCTATATCTCTATCTCTGTCTCTGTCTCTGTCTCTATCTCTATCTCTATCTCTGTCTCTGTCTCTATCTCTATCTCTATCTCTGTCTCTATCTCTATCTCTGTCTCTGTCTCTGTCTCTGTCTGTATCTCTATCTCTATCTCTATGGCTGTCTTTACAACGGGGGAATATGGCTGTCTTTACAACAGGGGAAATGGCTGTCTTTACAACAGAAATATGGCTGTCTTTACAGGGGAATATGTGTCTTTACAGGGGAAATATGGCTGTCTTTACAACGGGGAATATAACGTCTTTACAACGGGGGAATATGGCTGTCTTTACAACAGGAAATATGGCTGTCTTTACAACGGGGGAAATATGGCTGTCTTTACAGCAGAATATGGCTGTCTTTACAACGGGGGAATATAGCTGTTTCTTTACAACAGGGGAATATGGCGTCTTTACAGGGGAAATATGGCTGTCTTTACAACGGGGAATATGGCTGTCTTTACAACAGGAAATATGGCTGTCTTTACACAGGGGAATATGGCTGTCTTTACAACGGGGAATATGACTGTCTTTACAGCGGAATATGGCTGTCTTTACAAACGGGAATACTGTCTTTACAACGGGGAATATATGCTGTCTTTACAACGGGGGAATATGGCTGTCTTTACAACGAGAATATATTGCCTTACAACGGGGAATATGGCTGTCTTTATTAAACAGGGGAAATATGGCTGTCTTACAACGGGGGAATATATTGTCTTTACAACGGAATATGGCTGTCTTTAAAGGGGGAAATATGGCTGTCTTTACAACGGGGGGAATATGGCTGTCTTTACAACGGGGAATATGGCGTTCTTTACAGCAAAATATGGCTGTCTTTACAACGGGGAATATGGCTGTCTTTACAACGGGGAATATATTGTCTTTACAACGGGGAATACAGATTGTCTTTACAAAGGGGAATATGGCTGTCTTCTTTACAACGGGGGAATATGGCTGTTTACAAGGGGGAATATGGCTG